GGATCCTAACCCTTGGATAAAAGAAAAACATATCCTGGCCGTCAAACCTGTCGGCTTCGTTCTATAAATAACAGAAACAGAATCTATCTGTCTATCTCTCTGTGTTTCGAAAGCGCTATTAGGGTTAAATCGAAATTTGGGGCTTTTTAACCAGTCAAGGTACGCGCTTTTAACAATAATTTAATTGTTTAAGTACTTGGGATTTCAAAGGGTTTTCTCGTTTATTTTTCGTTCGCAATTCAGTGAGTCTATAAAGTTTTGAGTTTTTTTAATTTTTTCAATGGGTTTTAAATAGATTTGTTTTTCTGTATGCGATAATTTGCTTTCGAATTTATATGTTGAGCTGGAGGTTTGTAGATCCTGGGTAATTTCATTTTAAGGTGATTAAAGAATGTAATTAGGGCTTGTCAGTTGTTTCTGGAAACTTGATTGGTTTACGCTCTGCTCTTTTTTCTTCAAATTGTTTTTGGAGGGGGTTAATTTTCTGATTATTCGAGATTAGGAGTTTCTGCTTTAGATAGTGTGCAAAATTTACTATGCCCCACGCAATGGATTCTCAAATTATCCCTTATCTGTGTATGTTTCTTTTTTAAATCCACTAATGAGTTGTGTCTGAAATAATTACATGCAGTGTTTTGGAACTGGAAATGTTACGTATTTTTGTGTGTCTCCCAATTCCCTATTATTCATGTCAATTAACTGGATTTGTGAAGCAAGTTTTATATTTTTGGGGGACAGAATTGTAGCAAGGTTTCTTGTTCAGTGTTTACCTTGCTAATTACATTTTTTTTTGGCAGCTTGAAAATGCCTCGTTATGATGATCGATATGGCAATACGCGCCTATATGTTGGTCGTTTGGCTTCACGCACGCGTTCACGTGATCTGGAACGCCTTTTCAGCAGATATGGCAGGTAATTGCTTTTGTTGTTTCAGAATGTATTTTTAGTGATAAATTGTTATTTCTGAATGTGTTTTGAGTGATAAACTCATCATCCATGCAATATATTCAAAATCACAGTAGTCATGTTAAGGTACCTTATGAATTGAAATCTTAATGGAAAACTAACTTATCCATGCAATATATTTGAAATCACAACATCAGTTCGTGAGGGTATCCACCAGAAGTGTTGGGGACATTTGGTTCCTTGCCAAGCTTGCCTTTGTGCTTGGTTTAATGTAAATTTTCATGTTCTGTGTGGGAGCTTTTTGCCCCTAGGTGTTGTGTTTTCTTAACTTGAATAATCTTGTTGAAGGTTTTCTGGGGTTTGGCCTTACTTGGAGGTCTATGGTGAGAGGGTGGCCTTGGTGGAATTGGTGGAAATTCTTGCCGAGTGTATATGAGACTTTGGTGATTCTTTCTGTAGTCTTATTGCGTGTTTTTATGCAAATGGCAACAATCTCAATCTGGTGTTTAGTTCGTCTGTGACGGGCGAAGTATCATGCACTTGAAGTACTTAAGTAATGATAGCCTTACTGTTT